CTTTGCTTTTTCTCTCAATAACAATATAATTTTCAATATTTTGCTGGTAATATGTATAATCTTTTTTTTTTTATTTTTTTTTTTATTTTTGATAAATACACTTTGAATGGATATGAAACAAAAAATTAAGAAATACGTATGTTATTGAGACTTTAAATGAAATTACATTGGCAGTGAACGTTAAATAAATTTATGTTGTTGTATCTGTACGGGCACAGGTTGATATAATTGAATCAATAAATGCAATTAAAACTTTTATTTATTTTCTCATTGATGATAATTTATTATTATACAAGCATCACTGATTGTGAAAAAACATTTCACATAATTTGTAAAAAGAACAAAAAAGTATGGTGATTAATATATAAATGATTAAATCGATAATTGTAATTAATTACAAGATAAATGTGGCAACAATCGAAATAAACTGATTAACGAACAATCGTTTATGTTAACAAGTAGTTAGTAAATTTTTTTAGTTAGTAAAGTTTTAGAAAATTGTAAAAAAAAGTTAAATATTTACACTACATTCGATTTTTCGTGCGAATTTTCTTTTCTTATTGAACATCCAATTAATTACAATCCTGTTAAATTTCTTTTTATTCATTTATTATATGCAAAATTTTAAGCTTTCAATATTTAAATTTCTTTTTACTACTATGTAATTATACATATATCACTTATCGATTTATAGATTTAATTTTAATGTCACATATTATTGAATGCTCGTCCTCAATAAAACGTAAAATATATTTCATTTTAGAAATTGTTAGATTTTATATGTTTAGAATGATATTAAGGGGGAAAAAAAAACAAAAAAAAATCATAATAAATATTAAATAAATGTTATACATGTTATTTTTTAATTGTAAAGATTTTTCTTGTATATCTTGCAATTAATTTAAAATAACTTCATACACAGAGGCTCTAATGAATTTTTACAAAAATTTTTATTTTATCGTGGAAAATATATAATTTGCATGTATACCAAAAACATTATAGTTTTTTTTTTTAATTTTTAAGGCCTTTTAAATAAATTATAATTATACTGGTATGTGTTCTAGCACACGTTGAAGTTCTGATAGATGTGTATATAGGAATATTTTTTTGAAACTTGATTAATTCTCTTGAGAAAGTTCGGAAAATTGGACTTTGCATATAAATTGCCTTTATATATTTTTGTCGCGGCAACTAAGGTGATAATAATCAGTATTGTATATTTGTCGAAGTTTTCACTAACACAGTGTTGGGACAAACAACTTTGCATTCACGCACATTTCCTATTTTCAGACTATTAAAAGTTTGTTTTGTACGTGTAATAAAAGACGGATATACGAGCAGCTTGTAAGTGAGTTTTTAATATGATATAATTGAGTAAAATTCTCCATGAAGCTTAATTTGATCGATACATTTTTTTAAAACACGCCCAAACTAATGAATTCTTTAAAATCAAATTCTATATATTTATTTTAATTGACTTACAAAACCTATTTTATTTTCAACGAATGAACTGATAGTAGAGTTATTATTCCATATATTAGTGTGTAACCCCTAATTCCGGTATTTTTTAAAATTATTTTTGTTTATGCAAACGTGTGTGCCAGTACGTGAGCGCATACTGCGAGTGTTTTTTCGAATCAAAATAATTTTTTAAACGATCAGATAAATATGATTAATGTAATCGAACTTTACTTGCTTAATAATATTGCCAAGGGTATAATCAGTATTATTGAAAAATGTATTGTCGTGTACGAGTGTACAAAATTTGTTACAAATCGAATGACATCGATTGTAGTCATTGGGATTATTGGGTAATTGAAATTATTTAATGGCAAGTCTATAAAAGTTAAATATCAGGAGGAAATGTGAAAATTGAAATACTAGGGCATAGAAATTTTATGTCTATCTACATTGATAAATGAAAATAATTGTTGTTTTTTTTGTCTTTTAACATTATTCGTTAATCGAGTTGAGTCGTAATTATATATATTCACATCTACAAATCAGCCATACGCCACTTACTAAATCTTTGTGTTTTTTATCAGCTGAGTCACAAACAAGACTTATGATTTTTGTGTTCTCAGAAGCTCTTGTACACCAGACTAGCCGACTGTATTTTTAATTCTAAAAGCGTTCAAAATATTTTCAATTGTTCCGAGAATTATAATAAAGAAATACACATTTTAGAGTTAAGTTAGAATGTTTATGTGCATTAATCATTGGTCGCGAATGGATATTACATGGTCATTCAATATTGTCAAAAAAATGTCAATAAATTATTCAATTATTGTAATACATATAATAGAGGATTTTTACGTATTTAAATAATCAATATTAAAATTCAAATGAACACGAATTGCTGATATACAAGTGTACTTGATCAAAATATTTTATTCGTATAAATAGATGCAAGAACATCGAATATTATTTTGCACTATTACATTTATATAATGATGATATAAAATATGATTAATTTCGCTATTAAAATATACTGTAAGACTCGTAAGTTAGAAAAAACGGAAAATATTTTACGGTAGCATATGAGATCTAACGGAATATCATCATATTTAGTTGTATTACAAGATGGTTTTAGTAAATTAGTGTAGTATATTCGCTGACTTTATGAACACAATAACAATTATTATATTAAACTAATATTCATTCATGTAGTTTATACGAAAATAAAATATTATGAACGAATGAAGTTGAGCTCGTACTTTTGCACAATTAGATGAATAAATTTCTTATATTATCATGTAATTAATTATATTCTTTTATATATCCTATGATTTAACAAATAATGATTAAATTGCTATTACTTTATTTACCATTTAATACTTATTTAATACGTTCGTACGAACATTTATATACGTTTTCATTTAAATATTCAAGTTTTGGCTTTTCAATGGCCTATCATTCGTTAACAAAAATATAATAATGTATAATAATATAATAATGTAGAATTTAAACGTAATTGGAGTATTGCATAAATTATTTAATTTAGTTAAAAACATTATAAGTGCATAGTACCTTATTAATACAATGTAAAATACAAAATATAATTTTTTTAATTTTAATACTATTTTAGACCTTTAAATTAAATATTTGTTTTGCATCCGTCAATTACGTTTAAATTCTACATTATTTGTTCCCCGGTAAATATATGCATATACAATCAGCCATATAAACGACACGGCCGTTTGATTAACAATTCTATACATTTTTTTAAACGATATTTGAAAATCATGGTAATAATGATTTTTATGGCATTAAAGTTTGCCAATTGGATAGTTATGAAAGTTCAAATTTTTAATTTTAATGGAAATTTTTTTTATAAATTATATGTTTTTATATTGGAGATAAATTTTTTGAGGATATTAGTCACTTTACACTCTCGTATACACTCACTCTCAGCTGTGAAAACAATGATTTGAAAATGGTCAATGATAATATTCAATAGATATCGTAAATAATGCTGTATTATTAAATCAGTCAATATTTACTTTTTATATCAAGCTCAGTATTTCTATGTTTTATTGGATAATCCACTAAATCTTTAAAATCATGAATTATTAATATCACAAAGTCCAAATGGGTAACTGCGACATAACATAACGTAGTCCAATTAGCAATTTCGTATTACTGCAGCATGTCGAAAAAAAAAAGATATATATATATATATAATGTATTATTTTTCCACGAAAGGAGAAAAGCACATAATGCACAAATTGTCTGCATATTCCATAAATCAAAGTCTAAATGCAATATAGCAATAATTTCGTCATTTTTCCATAAACTACGTTAAGTTTGTGTGCTCAGCTTTAAAGTAATTATGGATCATTATTCCATGGATTCCTAATATACTGCTTTTAAAAAGACAATGGTAAATTGTAACGGGGGACCGCTAATTGCTTAATTATTTTCAATAATCTACGTTGGAATATGAAGTACGAAATATCAAAATATTCAAATAGAACGAGGAGTTAATGTCGCCCAGTACTATGGAGATATTAATTGCAAGTAATATGTAGTCGGTAGCCTCGGGAAGCAGCGAAGAATCATTTATATTTCGAAATTGCGCTCATTTATTCTTGAGATAAAGTGCGCACAGCTCGAATGCATATAGGAACAATTAAAAAAAAAAAAATTTCATATCGCGCGAAATTGATAGACAGTTTAAAAAGAAATTAAAAAGCAAAGCCACTTATAAATTATCGAGAAATAAGCAGCATATTTATTTTTTATATCTAGCGTAATTAGCGTAATTATAGTAATTATAGCAAGTAATGGGTACGCCTCACGTAGTTGGTAGAGGGGTCGTGATGGAAAAGAACCGTTACGTCTGTACTTGGGAGTCGATGTTGCAGGGGTTGGCATGGAAGGTCAAGGAAGGGAGGGGAAGGTGAGGAGCTCGAGGAGGAGAAGGTGGCGGTGTTCCCCGGCGTTGAAAATCATGATTTTGTAACACCGCCGGAAAGACGGAACGGCGAGGTGCCGCGAAATCAATAGCCACGCTATATAGCACGCATGGCTGACCGCGAGAAGATGATGAGAAGAAAGAGAGAGAGAGAGAGAGAGAGAGAGAGCAAGAGCAAAAGTACGAGCAGGAGACGTGGTCGACGAGGAGAGCGATTGGCAAATTAGCCCTTTAATCCTAGCTTTTAAGAGATACCCGCGGCTCGGGACTCGTCTAATTAATTGGGATCGCTCGCACTCATCGCGCTCGTTCGTTACCCCGATCTGTGACCCCTCCACCTCCTCCTGCTCGACGTCGCGACAGCGGCAAAAGGAGTCGGGCAGGGGTCGGCGTCTCTGGGCTTGGCCTCGTCACGGCCGCTTAAACCGCGCGACGTTTTATGCGCTCAACGAGCGGTGACTCTACTGCTTCTCTCTCTCTCTCTCTCTCTCTCTCTCTCTCTCTCTCTTACCCTCCGCAATCAATCTCCTTCCACTTTTATTTATCAAATTACTCATCGTTGGCCCGTTTTCTGTTGTCGCAGGATGGCTGCGGAAGCGGCGAGCAAGAAGGCTGAGCGCGAGGCACTGCGTGGCGTCATCCAGCAATGGAACGCCAACAGACTGGACCTCTTCGAGCTCTCGGAGCCCAACGAGGTGAGTAGTCGAGGGTGGTCGAGAGGGTGGTGAAGGGACCGTGACTGTGCTTTGGCGCCGTCCCCCGTTCGCCTTACCCCATCATCGCTTCTCCCCTTAGCAGAGGTTTGCCCGTGACACGTACACAAGTTTGCGAGAACGTGCGCGGCGAGCTTTTACCGGAAGTCTGATGCATGTTGTGGCTCTTGCCCCACTGTCAGCAAACACGCGCGTTACCTAATATCTTATTGCAGTACTCTAAGCATATTTAACGAGAATCAAGTAAACATATGGAATCGATGTACTCAAAGTGTTACACTATGTCAAAACAGTGATACATTTATCGGGGCTCGGCGCGAGATTTTCTTCATTTTTACATTACGTATCACCCTTCAATGCGTAATTACAAGTATTCCTTCGATTATGCTGATTTATTTGCTTTTTGGGTCAAACATTATATAACGCATTTATTATGCTTGTTAAAATCGTCGAATTTTATCGTTCACCGACAAAGTAAATATTTCATTTTTAAATAACGTTATCATGTATGCCTGTACATAGAAAATTCTGTATACATATGTATCGCACGCGTAATCACGTACTACACATAAACGCATAAATAACGGTCATGTACGCACATGTAGCCATGTTCATATGCTTATAAATGGGCAAGCTTTAAAAGTAATGTATTTGTCGAATAATTCTAAGATTATAAATGGTTAAAAAATTTGCCTAATGAATAAACCTTCGCGTAGATGAAAAGTTCTAATCCTTTTCTCCGAACGCTTTATAATCCAATTGTAATTTAAAGCGCAAACAGTGATGAAAATGGAATATCAAATCTAATTGAAATTTACTTGGATGCTCCGATTGTTCATGTGGCGATATACATGAGTTGCACGAGTTAGATAATGCAATAGCGAATGGAGGGGATAAACAGGAAAGAAATACTTTAAGATATAGATTATTTTTTTTAAAGCTTCAAAATTTATAAACTTGTATGTAATGATAAATATTTAAAATATAATTTATGGTTTCATGTGACTATCAATAACGAGGTTTTATTATTAATAAACAGACAAGAATAATTAATTAAAAATGAGCGTTATTATGATATATTTTACCTTTTTTTATAAAAAATGATAATGAAATTAAAAATGCTAACCACTGATATTATATATTTCATTGAAAAAAGCACTTTCGCAATATAATAATTAAATTGTTCAATTTAATTTATTAAAAAGTTCACTATATAAAGCAATTCAATGATATTAAAGTTTACACAACTCCTGGCCTTTTGCATTTTAATGCAAATTATAAAAGTTATTAGAAATAGAAATTCAAGTGTTTTTACTATATTAGGAAAGAAAAATTAAAAACAATATAAGCTGTTTTATAAAATATAAAATTAAACTACAATTGACTGGTTTAGTTATATTTTTACGTGTAATTGATTGTGCGCCATAAGTATATGATAAAATTAAAAATTTTAAATATCCTTTGTTATTATAGTTTAAAAGTTTATATGGAGTCCATGAAATTATTAATACGATGGAAATTATAAACTGCCTATCTATATGTTATTATTTACATTTTACGGAGATAAATTTTTTTACATAAATATTGAATACACGAATTCTTTATAATAGTGCCATTATAAAATTATTGCTAAGTTATTGCTCATGTTTTCGGTATATCGGCTTAAAATACTTTGATTAATGCAATGTTTAAATTCAATACATTACCTACCACGTCGTACAGATTGAATTAATTGAAACGAAGAACAATACCCTGCGAATGTTATGAAATTAAAAAATTTTGTTTCAAAGAATAGCATTCTTCATTTATAATACTTAATCATTATGCTAGTTACGTAGTTATAATGTTTCATCAAAATTTAATTACCAATGTATTTATATTTCGAAATTCATACACTATATATAAATATACGGACACACACATACACACACACACACAGAGACAGACAAACAAACAAACAAACAAACAAACAAACAAACAAACAAACAAACAAACAAACAAACAAACAAACAAACAAACAAACAAACAAACGAACAAAAAAACACACATATATCAGCACGTGCGCATAGTAGTATAATAAGAAATAGTTTATTCAATAATAGTAAACCAATAAAAATACATAAATATTTAATTATTTTCAAATTAGATTCAAGTCAAATAAAGAGGGCAAATTATAACTTCATTTTACGTTTGAAATGTAATATTGGACAAATGTATAATTATTATCAGAAGATTAAAAAATTTCTCATAATTTTAGTCTCATCGAACCGTTAAATATATTGAAAAAGTTTGAAATAAAAATAGCTCTATTACATTTGTAAAAATTTATCTCTATTTACAATTGCAATATTGGCAATAATCTTTATCAACAAATTTACGCACAAGATTATTTCCAAACATAGTATCGAAAAATTAAAAAATGTTATTCTTCAACAATTTTCTTCTTTAGTTTTTATAAATAGATTTTATAATTTGCTACTGTCCTTTTTTAATGTAGTCGTTTAATTTTAATTTTAATTTTAAAATGTGATTATTATTTTTTGTTATTCATGATTTTAATTCATCTGGAAAAAAAATTTCATAAGTATTCTAAGGAATTCAATATTTTATTATCCAGTTTAATCGTGAGTTTGCAAATAAAATGGTTTAAATTGCTGGAAATTGAAGTGTTCGTTAAATTTAATCTTACAATATCGTGTTGAGAGTATTAAAGTTTTTTCAATATTTCTTGACATGACGGTAGTCAATATTAAAATTAAAATATTAGTCCTTAACTGGTAATCACAGGCATTTTATAATTGCATCTTCGTCCATTTACGTACTATTAAATTTTAAGGAATCTATTTGTAAATTTATTTCTCAGATAAATATTTAATCGATGCTTTTTACATTCTGCCATTTCGAAAATATTATTGTTATCAAAAATAAGCCATGCCGATGTTTAAATTAACTTTATGTATAGTCACATTGTTTACTTGGATAAGTTGGATAAGTTGCTTACTTGGAGAAATTGCACAATATCTTACTTCCGAGTAAAGTAAAAGTTTGATACAATGTAGTTGGGTATAGACAAATGCTTGCAACTCGCAATGGATGACAATGACGGTTGGCATCAGAATATTAATACTATTAACCACAAAACAGAGTTTTCAACTTTTTACAATTCATTTTACAATTACGTGAACTGGAAAGACCTTAATTCATTATTGGTCGACAAGCTGACGAATGTTCTTTTGGCATCGACAATTCCTCGCGTTAAGTCGACGATTAAAAGAATTTGCGGTACGGGGATAATATGAATGGACTAGTGGTACGCCATTGACTTGAATGAAGGTGAGAAAAGTGTGCTCCGTTATCAAAATGAATGTAACGTTAGCGAACCGTACCTTCGCTCTCCCCTGCCCCCCCCCTCCCTCCCTCCCTCCCTATTCGTCCTTGGATTCTTGGAGGTCTTATTAATCCGTGGATCGTCTCTTTGCTTTTGCAGGACCTCGAGTTCCACGGTGTGATGCGCTTCTACTTCCAAGACAGCGGTCAAAAAGTCGCCACCAAGTGTATAAGGGTCGCCTCGGACGCCACCACACAAGCTGTCATCGAGACGCTCATAGAGAAATTCCGTCCAGATATGCGAATGCTCTCCGTGCCCGAGTACGCGCTTTACGAGATCCACGAGAATGGAGGTGAGTGGTACCCAGCTCGCGGCCAGAACTCTCCTCAATTCGACTATTTTCCCTTTTGGCACCGCGTAACGCTCAGCCGCAGCAGAGTACTTGGACAAATGACACTGAGCACCACTGCGCAGACTGTACCTTGTCTCTCTGCCCCAGCCGATATAAAGAGCCTAGTTTAATCGTGCCTGAATTTTACGTAATTCCTTAATAGTACGCTAGGCATGTTGTACCTGCGACCTTCGCCTGTAACAACGGAACATGCCGAGTTGTTTTTTTTTCTTTTTTCTTTTTTTAAACACATTCTCACTAGCGCGTTTAACATAGCGCTTAAATGTAGTTTTATGGTTTTTACTTAACTACGTATTATCGACATTTTTAATGGCTTAAGGTATAGTAAAATATTTTTAGATAACTGCTTCAAGTATTTCGGTGCCATTATACTTTCATTATATTCACAAATGAGTAGCAAACTGAACAAATACTTTACGCCCAAAGCGAGCAGAAGCAGAGTGTAGCTACAGCAGTCGAAGATTTTTATTCGAATGTTGAGAATGTTCATTTTATGTACAACTACAATACTTTACACTTTAATGTAACAAATTTAACAGTCGTTCGGAATTCCTGACCAAAAATGTCTTTTTAATATTTACTTTTATGAAATTTCTAGAAAAACGAAGGAACAAAAACAAAAATTGTATAATCATCGTTTTAAACAGTATTCCTTCAAGTGTATAGAAGTTCCTGTCGATAAAAAAAATTGTACACTTAAATAATGGTGTTTATAAAAAAAAAAAAAAAAAATTATAATACTTCGACGGTTGCTTCAAAGTAAAACCTATTTCAACGGTTTTATTGCAATTTTTTGTACGATTGTAGGTACGAATAAAACAGTTAAAAGAATTACGCGACGATTACAAATGAATAAAATGACAATATTAAAATATGATAAAATTAATTCACGTAAGAAATGTCTAATCTCTTTCATCTACATTTTTTTTTTGTAAAAATTCTTTCTTCGGCTGCGGTGAATTCTTTTTAACATCGCGTAACGTATTTGCTTATTAATTCGTTTGAATTTAAATTTCAAGCATATCGTAAAAAATGAAAATAAATTCTTTGAATAATAGGTGACATTTGTGTGTAAAATAAGTAGCTAATAGAGTGAGTTACGAGTTGTTGATTTCATCATTCACTATTCGGTATCCGGAGGTGTGACACTTCTATTGTTAAGACGGTGAACATTACGTCATTTAACAAAGTATATTCAAATAGATAAAATGAAATACTTTGAGAACAAAAATCGAGCTTTTACTATCATTATTATAGTACATTCACATTTAAACTTCAAAAGTATTTTAATGAAAAATTATATAAAACAAATGCTATACTAATAGCATTAATTAAATTTTCTTTTCAAATACAACATTATGTTTAGTATTGAGAAACAATAATAATAACTATTATAAAAGGCTAATTTTCTGTTTAGTCTAAATAAAAATCTCTAGTATTGATAATTGATTTTTATAGGTATTTATAACATTTATTGTGAAGATTAATGCCAATAATGTATGATAAAGGCAACAAAAATTTTTTAATTATATATTTTTTAATAATTTAAACATTTCTGTTTAATTAATTTCACTTTACTAGTGTTCTCGGTATATCTATGTGTGTACATAAAATAATTATTAAGTAATATGAGCTTAATGTAAATGTTTATGATTTCATATACTGAAAATGAAAATTTTTAATACGCATACTTTGATAAACAAAATTTTAATATTTTTATTCTTTATATTTATTTTCATATTATCATATATATATATATATATATATATATATATATATATCTTGACGATTTCATTTGTTTCTTTTTTTTCTTTTTTTTCTTTTTATTTCTTAATACTGAAAAATAATATTATCTGATAAATTACAGTTTCAGTTATATTATTCATAATAAAAAAAAAGTTTAAAAATACGGGATGCTATGTACATTGTAAATTCATATGCAAACTGAAAATTAAGTCGATAAATAAGAACATTATAAGACGAAATTTCAATTCAATTGTGTCTTTATATTAGAAGGGATTTTATTATGCACAATGTTTAATATTGAAAAATTTAGAAACTCTATCTATATAAACTTGCATTATTAGAATGTATTGAAAAACAACTGAAATAATATAAAAGAAAAATAAACTTATGTTTGTTGAAATTTACCAATTAAGCTTAACATGTAATTGCAATTTTATTGATATATATATATATATATATATATATATATATATATAAACTAAATATCTATTTTATGATTAATACAAATATAAATATAAATTTAAGCCAATTTTTTTAAGACTTTAAGACTGTAAAATAAACAACAAACCAATTTCGTTTAATTGTATAAATAATTTTCTACGAGCTAATAGTTACTAATGAAGATAAAATATTTTATCGGCTCATATTAAAATACACCATAAATCGTTTTTCAATAATAATAACAAATTAGAAAAGTAGATTAAAATTATAACTAATTGAAAATGAGGATATTAAATTACCACAAAGAAATGTTGAAACTATGCTTTTCATTTAGAAACTTAATATTTATATTACATATCACTATCAAAATACCTATGCACGCAAACATACAAGAAAATAAAAAACTTTTAAAATTAAAAAGTTTCATTTTGTTTACATGTGGATTGTAACGTTATATTGAGTTGAATGGTGTAAATAACTTTCTTTTCTTTTTTGAAAATGTTATAACATGTACTTTACCTTCGCTTTACCTTCAATATATATCAGTGTGAGTAATACTTCGTATTCTCTGTCACGTACAGGTACTTTACTTAACACCGAAGTAGAACATTTATCGTTTGAAATATTTTAATAAGAAAGAATGCTTTTTCGCGTCGGAAGTTCTTATTAAATAAAAATTTAAAAGAAATTTCAAATTTCGACTAAAAATAGAAACATTCGGCAAGTATATTGATTTAGTGTTAGAACATTTTGACAAACGGGTTTAATAACATTTTCATGGAATGTCCTTACAATAGTGTCGTCTACTGAACCAAATATTTTCACCGTTTGTTTTTTGTGTCTTAATTTTAAATTAAATTATCACGAATTCGTATTAATATAAAATATTAATAACAAATTTTCATGTAAAAAAAATTTAATTCTTAATTGAGGAAGAAGACACCGTGGTAGGTCTCCAAGTAATTTCATTATAAACTTGTCAAAGTTCAATGAGATCTCGAAATTCAAAGGACACACGCTTTAAATTTCTCTTCCGTATATTGATTTCTTTAGCATTTTTTTTTATAATTACAGTAATAAAATATAATGGAAGAAAATTCGAACTAGTTAGAATAGCAATAGATTTAACTTCTTTTGAAAAATCAAATAAGAAATATTATTATGTAGTTTTTCATTTTTATTATATGTACGCCGTTTGTTGAAAGATTTTGCATTTATATTCATTCAAGTAAAAATAACAAGTTTGAAAGAAAGTTTGATACTTGATCTGTTAGTATTGAGTGCGATTAGTATTAAATTACTTTATTAAGATTATATTGATATAAAACCGGTTGGATAAAATAAAAAAAAACCGGTTGATATAAAACGAAGAAACCCTTTATTAAGATTGTTTTCAATGTTTTCTTTAACGTAAAGCCTCGACTTTCTTTCAAAATCCGAATAAATTATTGCACAATATGTTACTAACGTAAAAATACAAATTCAATTATTAATTGCGTATAGCTCTTGTAATAGCTGCTTTTCGATATTTAATTATTATAAAATAATAATAAGTTTTAACTTCGATACTTTTCATACTTATTATTTGGTCAGCTACCAATGTGTTAAAAATAGTAATTTCTATAACTTTCAAATTCAATTATATATATATATATATATATATGTTTATTTATAATTAATTGGTATTTAAATTTGAATTTACAAGCTTCAAATGAATGCCCTATAAACAATTGCTAATGAATAATCGCCAAGGATATTTAACTAAGTTCTTTCATTTATTTTGATTAAATAATAAGTTAATAATAACGTAATCAAATTTAGCCCATAAAGCGTTTATTAGAGTACTCGTTTCATTTGGTGTATGCACCATGTGTGTGTGTGTGCGTGCGTGTGTGTGTGTGTGTGTGTGTGTAGTTGTATTTATCTTTGTGCATCATTTAAAGTTTTTTACGGGAACTATTTTTATTAAGTGATATTAGCCTGATGGTGTTATATTTTTAGGAAACTCTTGAGAAGATATTCTCAGTTATAGATGAGTTTGAATTTAAAGTAACGTATACAGTATAATGAACACTAAATTTCTTTTTAATCTTAAATATTAAATGGACTTTATAAATATTACGTCTACGAATACGACGTGCTGGTTGAATTTTTGTCAATTTGAGCAGTAATTTCTTTAGTAAAGCAAAGTGGAGCTTAATAGTAAAGTGAAAGAAAGAAAGAAAGAAAGAAAGAAAGAAAGACAAAATAAAGTATTAGTCCATGAAAATTAATTGTTTATTTAAAAATTTTGTATACTTACTCATATTAATCTTATTATTAACGTTGCTTAAATCTGAATATCAATTGTGAATAAAAATACTTAATATTTATAATCTTTTTCAATTAAATTATTGTACTATATTTTGCACTACTATACTATTATTTTTGGTTTTCTTATATTTTATATAACAATATCTATATTTAATATTTTAGTATTAGTTAATTATTCCCATGTATCTATTAATCCTTATCAATCAAAAGTTCAATTCTTTATCAATTAATAATAATTAAGTTTTTACAATTGAAGGGAATTAAATAAAATTTATGTTTTTTTGTTTGCCAAAGCTTTGCAAATAACACAATGAAAGTCATATAGTTTGTCTATTACAATAAGTTAAATATAAATAATGTGCCGAGCAGCTGTTCTTAATTCGAATTATCGCAGTTGAAATATCGCATTTTTTCTCCAAAATAATGAGCTCCTTTTCTAAGTATTTCGAAATCTCCTAAATTATGAGTCTTATTAAATAATCAATAAAATTTTATATAATGACTAATTCATTTTAACGTCCATCAATAATTTTCTCGTATGTTTAATTTTCTTAACGATAACATTTTTTCGTTTTGTTTATCGGTTTTTACATTTGCCGTAACAGAATGTAAAAATATCGGCTTTTTTTTTCTTCAAAATTGACACGAATTGACGTGCATAAATAAAAGAAACACCAATGCAGCCTGTCTCCACTGAAATATTAAACATATTATTCAAATTATTACAATAAATAATTAACGATATATTTTGCCGTCGCTACACTTTTCTTTACATATTTCTTAATGCTAATATGCTCGTATTTTCGTAGAATACTAAATTATTGCAACGATATATCTCCGCATCTTTTCAATGCGCCCACGTATTCCAGTATATCTTGTAAGAACTACCTTAAGTTTCAAGTAACGCGTACAAATGACAGATTCTATTACATTTTGAATGATAAACTCTTTCTTTACAATTAATATCAATGCCAAACACAACATGTACGATCGCTAAATTACTGACGTTAGAATTCCACTCGTACCGAGTAATCTTTTGTAGCTTTTGACTTTCAAAATAGAATGAGTCATCGTACTTTATACGTACAAATTGACGCTCAAGGCTTAATTCGCTAAGTCCGCACTTCTTCATGAATAATAAATAATAACTTTATTCTACTTTTGAAAGTGAATGTACATTTCTAATTACATAATATAAGTGCAAAATGAAGTCTCTGCTCAATTATTCAGTGTCCTCTACTGAAATAGCAGAACGACTGCATTTCCCACTTTCAAAGATATATATATATATATATTCGGAATTCGGAACAGCGGTGGTGTAAGAGATACGCTAATGCATAGTTATAAGGATACTTTATTTATTTAGTCCGGTGACAATTAGAAACTTCCCCTTAACCTCGAAGATTGCGTGCATTCGTTGAATGATGAATCATGGAATCGCTCGAGAACGCGAGCAAAAGTGCAATGACAGGAAATGCTACTTATTTGACGCCAAGCTGCTAATAATAACAGCACAACTACCATGCCGCTAGTTACAAAATAATAATAATAATAATAATAATAATAATAATAATAATAATAATAATAGTAATAATAATAAGTAGTAACGGCAAAACGAACGATCAATAAACAAACAACAACGACAGCTCTAATAAGAACAATAATCAATAATCAATGATAAATAATATATAATAATGATGATGATGATGATGGTGATGATGACGATATTTCTTTCTTGCGCAGAGGAGCGTAAGCTCGGCTTGGAGGAGAAGCCACTGCTGGTGCAGCTAAATTGGCATATAGACGACCGCGAGGGACGTTTCCTACTGCGACGCATCGATGACAAGACGAATGCCCAGGGCGTCGGTTTCGCCGAGGCCTCGAGCTTTCGGCGCAAGCTCAGCAAACGCGAGAAGAAGCAGATGAAGAAGCAGGAGAAGCTCGGCAGACTGAAGAGCGCGGGCGAGCAGGACGAGAATGCCGCGCCTGTGGATCAGAATGGCGTAGCCGAAAAACTCTACACAGGTGAGTCATCGACATATCGTATGGGATAGTTATCTCGGGGGGCCTCGAGTTACTTATCTTATCTGGCCTCAGCGATAAGAGGACGGCCAACGCGTGCCGCCTCTTGGGCCTCTTTGCGCGTCTCTTTATCTCTCACCAGCTAAACAACAAAATCTACACCTTGCAGAAATATGAAGAACGTGCGAGTTGTTGTTGTTTCGTAATCCGAGCTCGTCTTCGCTTAAAATCAGATGCTTTCGATTATTGACAAATGTTTCTTCGATTGGCGGCCCTTAAGGGCCTGACGACTGACAAAATCGAAGCGACTGGCAAGTGGCTATGAAAAAGAGTAAGGAGCAACGGTCCGTTTGTTTCACCTGTGCGCCATATTTTTTTTTTTTTTTTTTTTTTTTTTTTTTTTTTTTTTTTTTTTTTTTTTTTCACAATTGACGAATAGTTTGTATTTGTCGCACAGACCTCTAAAGAGACTTACAAAACGTACACTTAGGGAGAGGTATGCGCGTGCGCGTAGCGAGTGGCCGAGCCGCGATCGCGCGCCAGGAATAATTTTCATAATAATCGCGATCCTTTACTTTTCTAACTAATAATGCAACTCGTCGAGTTTCCGCTACAATCGTTGCTGCTGTACCGTGTGCGGCATAGTATTGCCGACGACCTATTTATCAAAAAATAAATCGGTAAAAATCAAGCGGTCGTAACTGTATAATCGCGGTCGTTGGCTTATATTAACGGTGGCCTAACAGTGATTTAAATTAATGATACGCCGATCGCCGGATTGACGTACGTTTCGCTTATTCGGATCGGAAGCTGATGATTTTATCGCAAATGACTCGCGAACTTTTCCAATACCTTGTAAATTGTTAATGCAGCTAGTTTCAGTCTCTCAGCCATTTATAATTTCGTATTCGTAACTCTCGCAGCTTTTACCGTTTGCCGTTCGTTTCGAGTCTATCGGCGACTAAACACGCTACTTCCGTTCCAATTTTCATAAAAAAAAAAAAAACTATAATTACATCCAACTGTTTGATAGTGCTCTTAAATATTTTAATAAGTAACTTCGACTCTCATCAGCGTTTGTTTGGTTTTTTTTACCTTTTAAACATTTACAATCTATTATGGAGGAGAAAAAATCGCAAAGCCCCATTCAAACACTAATCAATCGTTGAAAGGTGTCATTTAACGAGAAGGATCTCACGCAACCGTCACATTTCCCGCAGATCCACTGTACGAGTTTGCTAAAAGTCTATCAAATCCTGAAATTAAAAAGGTATCGATCCTCTATAGAAGTCGTTGAAAGGGCGATTCGCGTAAATAAAGGGATATAGAAATGAAATGGGAAAAAAAGAAGTGCGAACGTCATCTTGTCACGCGAAAACCATAATGTACGACCTGTTATCGAGCCTGTCTCTATTTACCGAGAGTGACTGAGTGAGTAAGTGAGTGAGTGAGTGAGTGAGTGAGTGAGTGAGTGAGTGAGTGAGTGAGCCCGCTTCAAACATCCCAGTACAGAAGATTCGTTCGTATTTAGCGCCTCGTTTCAATTCCTCGTGCTCGATCCTTTCAAACGCCTCGGTTTCATCGACCATTGTCAAATGTCGCGGAGCGATATCGCCTCGAAGGACGCGAAGGTCGACGACGAGGGCGAGGGTGACGGCCAGCAGCCGCCCCGGATACGATAATCAAAGCCGAGCGCCGCGAGGGAGCATCGATTAGCCGGCTCGCGGTTGCCAGGAGCCCTCGGCCTTAGCTCGCGTCGAATCGATAATTTCGTAATCGCCGGGGTGGCGGCGCTGCGCCAGGTGGGGCCGAAGGCGACAGGGCAGACAAGCGACACGAGACCGACCGAGCAGCCGTCGATCAGCGGCGAACTTTGCAGCATCGGCATCCATCCAACCATTCACATTTCCGAGTCGACTTAATCTTGGAATCCGCGGGCGCTTGAGCGTTTGGGGAGATGGACAGGGGCCGGATTGTCCAGCGATCTTATGATACGCGAGCGAGATGCCCGATCGGATTAGCAATTTCTCACCTGTGAATTTATAGGTGCTCGTGCTCGCTCGCGTGCCAAATTTACGTTAGGGCTGATGCGCGGCCGCAACTGACGCGGAGATAATGAGCTTTCGATGATTGGCCGATGGGAGAGGAAGGGCTAAGGAATAGATCAACTGTCATCGTCCTTGTCTGGCTTTGGATTCGTCGACCGATTAGCTAGCAGCTTTACTTTTCAAACTCTTCTTCTTCTCCTCTTTCGTTTATCCCTTGTTCCGAAACGAATCTCTTTTTTTGCAATATTATATCCCGTATTCTAAGACGAGCTTTAACACCGAGTTAATTATTAAAAACAAAACACAACGATTTATAATTAATATGCTTAGAAACAATTTACATATTTTTATAATAAATTAAACGAGATCATTGATTGGTTCACCGGATATTGCAATCGGCTACCATCGAAGCATATCATTCGATATTCAACTGCTTCGAGATGTTTAAATATTTAAATATTTAAAATTTACAATATTATTCAATACATAGATTTTAAATGTTAATTGCTCTTGCTCTTAGGATAAAAAAGGCTTATTAATATTGTCGATTATGATTGCGCAATACGCACGCTTTCATTAATATCTCGAAATCCTTGACAATTATAAGGGTGTGACAAGCATCAGTCTCGTTATCAATTTTTATTTAACAATGTATTTAAAAATTATGAAATTTACATTATTCAAGCTTTGTTGATTGAAATAATTTTGATGAATTTTCATAAAATGTTTTTATGAAATCTTATGTCCCTCGGCATGTACAAAATTAACGTAGATTATTCAAATTATTACGTAAATTAAGTGCATTATGCATTAGTAGAGCAGTAACTATGATCTTACTAATTTTTTTATAAAACAGAATTATTAATTAATTATTTATGGTTCACAATTTTCGTGTACATTTGCAGATTATGTTTGAAAATTTCTCTACCTAACATTTAACATATACATAATTGTAGGTAAATAAATTTTACCTATTTTTAAGCGCACACACAGAACACACGTATCCGCGCTTTTACATTGTTAATAACGTACGATAATTTTACGTAGTAAGTGCACTGTGTATGAAATAAAACCCGAGCTTGGTTAACTAAACTAACGTGTAATGTTGCCACGCAACAAAAAGGACTTATGTAATATTTGTTTTTCTTTTTGAGAATATCATTGTAAAAAATGTAAAAACGTAGTTACATCCAAGAACGCGAGGGTGATTATCAGTAAAAATATATTTAAATCCTCGGGCCCGAGTACAGAAATTATTATAATATATAGATTATAATTGTACATTGAATTGTATATTCAAGTACGCCAACGACAGGTCTGGTATAATATTTGCTTAATCCGACCATATGAAAATTATAATAAAGTCACGAAAATGTGAAACGAAGCGGCGAGATCCTCGATTGCACGACACGTCCACGAGCCAATAAACAATAGTTTTTTCGTAATCGTTGTATCGACGTATGCGCATGCGCAACATTCGTAAGGCGAAAATTGCCTCCGCCCCCGGTCCCGAATGACGAAAATAGTCTGACTGTTCTAACGGGATAGCAGCTCAACGAAGCCGAAAAATTGCGCGAGATTAAGAGCGAATCGCCGAAGCAGCTTTGACAGTGCGTTCGATCATTACAGAGCTGCCGGAAACGAGCTTCACACGCAGCATCTCGAATCCTGAGGCAGTGATGAGGCGGCGCCGGCAGCAAAAGCTCGAGCGCAAGCTCCAGCAGTTCCGGAGCAAGGATGGCGGTCCGGATACCGGCGGTACTCTCAAGATATACGGCGAGGCGCTCTGCAAGGACGTCCCATACAAGACGCTCCTGCTCAGTATCCGAGACTCGGCCGCCCAGGTCGTGAGGGAGATGCTCGCCAAGTATGGCCTTGAGAAGGTCGACCCCCAGCAGTATTGTCTCGTGCAGGTGAGTGGCGATGTATTTGCTACGTATATTCGCGGGTGGATGGGAGCCGATGTTCAGAACTGGATATAAAAATAATTGGAAGGAAATCAGCGCCGATTGCCCCTACTATACCCTCCCCCCTCCAAATTATACAGTGATTTATCTACCTCTCCTCCCATCACCCCAATCGCCGATTTTTATATAATAAAGAAGCGTGATACTATTAGCTTTAATAATTCAGACAATTACAACACTCCTCCCTTTATTTCACTTGGGACGTGCAATAATTATGCGAATAATATACAGATTGGCTCGCAATATTATTAATTCGGGGGCCCCGACCGCGCATTTTCATACTTCAAATTTTCATCGCTTATTAACGTCCAGTGCCTCGATATTACAACAGTTACTCGGAAGACTGGAAAAGTAAATAAAAAATTTGCTTCCGCATATCTTGATAATAACACACACGCGCACGCACGCACGCACTCGCGACCGCTCATTATGCAGCACTTATAAAGCATTGTGGAGAGCTCCTCATTACGTAAAGAAAAACGTCGGAAATTTTGTATTTTCTCCCAAGTATGACGTATAGCGACAGTCGAGAGTTTATTATAGCGAGTTTATTATACCCAACTGTTTAACGAATGCACGGCCATTTCCTTCGACTCGATCCTTCAAAACTTCACGAAGAGAATCACGATTGTCCACGTGAGTTAACAATCGCCGAATAGGACGAAACGGATTGCTCGGTATTCTCGCTTCATGGCCCAGTAATTAATTAACTCGGAGCCTTGTCCGAGCATTCTGCTTCCGATCAATTACCACTAAGCAGACGTTACAACGGGTAGCCGAATTATTCATGCGCGCCAACCGCGCACCACGCACCCCCCCCCCCCCCCCCCATCGTCTCCGTGATCAAAAGAGCCGGACAATCAAGCTAATCGAGCATCAGCTACCGGCTAATTTGCGCAATCCGAGTTCAATATACGTGAGGCGAGAGCGAGCGCGAGGAATAGCCGACGACTTTGACTCGCGCTAACCCGCGAATCTCCCGCGCTCCACTCCTCCACTCCCCCGCCCACGCACAACGATGCGCGCCGTCGTCACGCTCGATAAGGCAGTAACGAAAGCCCCGGCCGGCAATCTCGAGATGCTCGTGGTGTTGTCGGTAATGCGGACAGCAGCGCGGCTGTTTATGAGAAAACGCTCGGGAGGAAAGGCGAAATGTCCAGGCGGATGTCATCGACGCGCTTTCCCTCTATTTTCTGAAATTTTTGGCGAGTCCGGCGCTCGAACTCCAAAACCTTCCAATGTTTCTCGACTCGGTGCCTTTACCGCCGATATCCCGTCACTTTTATTTCATTCTAATGGAACGCAATTATCGGCGTTGCGTTCAAAATTTCGCGCGTGATCTTTTACGAATGATATTTCTGCTTTCTCTCTCTCTCTCTCTCTCTCCCTCTCTCTCTCTCTCTCTCTCTCTCACTTGACGTTCCTCCGACGCGTAGGGGCACGAAATACCCGGCATTGATGTTCCGCTCGCGCGACATAAAAGTTATTGATCTCGTCACCACGGAGTGTACAATGAATGCAAAGTATACCTTAACGGACGGTGCGTGGAACAAATGGATTCGCCTAAAAATTCGCCGAATGAGAGGAAACGGAGATTGTTGATGCATGGGGAGGATTTTCCAAAATTCAAGTACAACTGTACGTGAAAATCGGCAGGAGGAGAAATTCAAAGTGTACGATAGTAGCGTTCGTTATCACTGATTGGAGAGCTGCGTGCATTATATATTCCGTCGAAGGAGCAAAGGATATCGTACGTAATTATAGAGAAAGATGTTGATTTTTAATGGGGCACAGCGGATAAATAGGCGAAAAATCTTGGCCGCCAGCCAAATTCGATTTGCAAATAAATGGAAGTAACTCCGGTAATACGAGATTTTCCTCATCTTCTTTCAGCATTACGCCTTTTTACATTCTCATTGGTCTAGCATATCCATATTCGCGCTCTCCTCTCGAAAAATTACGGGCGCAGAATTAACGACCTCTTTTTTTTTTATGTTTCACTCTGATTCCCAGGTCAACGGAGAGAATGCGAGCGGAAATGCACATCAGGAATACATTCTCGACGATGACGAGTGTCCGTTGGCAATTCTCATGAACCATCCGTCCACACGAGGTGAGTCATCGCTCTGTTTATGATTTTCTTTTTTTTTTTTCAATTTAAGACGGAATGTTACGTATAATGTGGGACGATCGTATGCACCGATGAAAAATAGTGTGCGAGCGCTTCTAATCGATTGACGTTGGGACTTGCGCGTGGCATTTTTTGCAATTACGTGGGCCCATTTTCGAGCGTAGCACTAAGCAACGCGATAAGCAACGCGATGATAGTCCCGAGTTTTATTTACACACTTAATACTCGATCGTTTGTCACTGGATTAAACGACTTTGACGATTATTGACCTCATCGCCTAATCTAATCAATTACACTGCTATATACAATACGAGTGTCCATTTGTAATTGAATTAAAAGCCAAATATGCTTTAATTCTTTAATCAAGAGCTCCATTTATTTTAGCATTATTAATTAATTGACCGATGATTAACTGATTCAATAAACAATGGCGTGAATTTTACTTTCATGGATAATGGCGATACAAGAGGGTTTAAATGCAAATTATACTAATATACCGACAAATATACGGCATTATTCATGCAGAATTTTCTATAACTTGTCTTCATATATTTGTCCTAATATGCTTTGTCATCATAATTATCCTCTGATTACATTCCCCATTAACTATCTTAATTAATAGGGATGCGATGTATATATATATATATATATATATATATATATATATATATATAACATATCCTGCTTCGAATAATAAATTTTCATACCGAGTTGCTTACATATAATATAAAGCCAAAGTGACTTCTCACTCATCCAATTATATAGTAGTACAAACGTCTTATTAAACATGAAAACGTCTTGTATAATCAGCGCTACATCAGCATTAATGTATCTGAGAATTATGTGCAAACTGTTTGAAGAATTCGCACACCCATGATTATGTTGAACTTTATTTAATCGTTGGTGTTGCAAATAAAATGAAAACTTTAACATTTAGCTTGGTAGGAAAGTACGACTGGAAGCGTGAATTTTACGCGAAACATGTACTTGCAATAAGAAATTTATTTCCATCCGCTAGATTTGCATAATCCATAATGATCCATAATAATTGAAATAATTGAAAATCGTTAATTTATGCAATATAACGTCAATCCATATTCACCAGCGATCAATATTATTAATTTATCATGATGATCTCGTGAAGCGCATAATTTTCACAATAAGTGCATATTTCGTTAGTGAGCAAAACTTTGGTGCGAGTAGGTAAAAGATTAGTCGGTGGGGCCCCCGATACGTCCCATTATAACGACGGGACATTTATTTGTCCTTTTTGCTTTACCCTGATGACGCGCGCCATTACCCAACGACATGGAGGAGAAATTTACGAAAGGCTTTACTTACATATATATATATATATATATATATATATATATAGCTTCTGAGAGAGTTGGCCCACTATGTCCGTGAAGCCCGTTAAAGATTTCGCGTCAACTGCCGCAGATTCACCCTGGACCTCTCCCTACGGAAATGAAACATTCAATTAAATTCGAGCGGGGGTGGCTGGCAGTGCGCATAATTAAGTTTGTCGCGCGGATCGATGAGAATACCAACGGCTGTCGGCATTTCACTGGGCACTCCCGCTCTTCGCGAAATTTGAATTTTCAAACCTACCTAACAAGGCTTGCAACTTTCACTCACTTTTCACTTACGCCCGTTTCATCCAGCGAAGAGAAAGATACGCGTGACATAACCAATTGCAAAGCTCTCGGACCACCACACCGACTCGTCGTCGATTCGCCATCGACTTCTCTTACCGTATGTGGATGACAAACGGCACTGTGATTCGACGACAAAGTCGGAATTAGTTGCTCAAGCGCAAGTGAGATATAGGATTACGACCACGCGAGGCTGAGAGGGAGTGAGAGAAAAGTCCGAAACTAATGCAATCCAGTCGGACGGATTACCGCAAGACCACGCCCCGAAAATATTCGGTTACCCTCGGTTTTTCCACATTTTCAAGAAAATTACCTCTAATGAATTAATTTAAATGCATTAGCTATTGTATTTGGAGCTCAGGTGTAACAAGCGCACTTTCCCACCAAAGTCAAATACCATTCCGTTGATAAATTTTCCTAATTGAAATTATCCTTTTTGCATCTATCGGGTCCATTGATTAAAACTTGTACGATTAGTTAGCTCATCCGATTTATCCTTTATTTGCGTCGTTTTTATTCCAGGGAAATTTCCTAACTCCTGCATCATACGCCTAGTACAGAGGAGAAAAAACCTTGTTACACAGGCAATTATAAATTTTCCCGTAATTCAAGCTTTAATTTTGACAACCATTCGTATACATTTGCCAACGAACACTACTGGTATTTCGTTGAAAAATCACGATTCGTTTGATAATTTTTTATCTCGCTGTTTGCATTTGCATTATGCTTATTCAGTACCGAGCAGAAAAAAGACAGAGGTTTCACGGAAAGTAGAAAAGACTGCATCGGGTTATTTTATAAAAGCGAACATTATATGTATTCTCTGAAAAACGTCGAGTAAGTTATTCGCGGACGTGTAATTTGAATTTTCGAGATGATAAAAGAGAGCGAATAACAGGGATTCGAGGGCAGAGTTGTAAACGTAATCAGAGGCTCATTCATCTCTTTCCTCTTCTCACAATCGCGACTCGCATTAGTATTTGCATTATTTTCTCGGCCCTTTCCATTCGAACGATACAATCGAAAAGTCCTCGTCGCTTAAGAGGCTCTCAAGCTCGCTCCACTCTCGAGCGAATTTCCCCGGCCGGTGAATTAAAAGCTCAACCCGATCATTTACGGGCCAAAACCCACGGAGTCCTAATTTTAACTAACTTCTTAGGGAAATTAGAGACCGTATTTTATTATTACTCCCCACCAGACGTCACACAATGGCAATAAATACCGAAGAGCGCTATTGTAAATGCATCCCCAAAAATTATCGCTCACTATTTCAGTGGCGGTCTCTCGCGGCAAATTCCGACCCTCCAGCGCTGAAAACACTAAGTACCCTTCGTATTCACACCGTTCGAGTACTCCCGCCGAAAGATCACCCCAGAATTTCCCCAGGACAGCGGAGCCTTCATCTACCGCCTAAGCCCCGATATTCAGCGTATAACAACAACAACAACAACAACAACAACAACAACAACACCCCCCCTCCCACACACAAATCATCCTCCTCCTGCTCCACCATATCTCACCCACCCGCTATCTTCCTTCAAACGCCAATATTGACGAACAGCCATCCGTGACTTAATGAGAATACCACAGCCGGTGATCCGCTCGACGTAATCCTTCCATCCCCACCCGACTCCCGTACCGCCACGTGATGTCAATTTATCCACGAGTCCGGATGCGCCTAGTTCCATTGACTCTACTCGCCATTACTACTTTCATACCGATTTGCCAATATCTGGTGCACTGCGAAGGAACGGGATCGTCTTATACTTATACAATCTTACACTCTCTTCACTTTAATTCACAGCAACGCTCCTTCACGGTCTTTTCTCCTCTTGTATTTTATCTATTTTTTTCTTCTGTTTTTTTATTATAGCGCGCAAAACGCCGTCTGAAAATGGAAATTCAGTGTTTACATTGGCTGGCGTTATACATTTCGAGCTACTAGCTTCCTCCGCTGCGACTTGATTAAGTTTTCAATTTAATTTGAACATCTCTTGGAATTTTCTTCCTTTTTAAACCCCCCCCCCCCAACCCAACCCACCCACGAACCCCGTTGTATGTCTCTTTTCTTGAAGAATTTCCTTCTTTATGAAACTTTGTTCGTTTTCCTGCTACAACTTTCTTTTTTTAATTCCCGAGCTTTTTGCACTTTTGCTTTGGTCATAGGATGAGAAAAGAATTTCAAGAAATATATAAATTCTAATTTAACGAGAAATTATTATTGAACGAGAAATAATTATTGAAAATGGTGTTGTCGTGTCGTCATTGTCATCATACAGTAATATCGATGGTATTATGGATAAAGGAAAACAAATTTTACAAATTTTAATGTTTATCTTCGTTCCTAAGCTCAAATAGATTATTCGTAATTGTTAATCCAACTCAATTGTCATAAATAGAGTTTTTATTTCAAGGCTCTTTCAACTTTTTTTCTTCATTCTTTTTTTCTTCTTTTTTTTTTTTATCAATTATTAACGAAGATCGTTACCTTGTTAATATGAAAATGAAAATGAATAATCTTTAAAATATTAATCCACTATCAACACCATTAGCTTATGAGTTCTAACTAATAATAAATTAAGTCATTAAACAAAGAATCATTAAGTTCTCATTATATTAGCAAGCAACTAATTAGAGTGTAATGACTTTTAATTGAATAGCCATTTAATCGCTTAATATACGAGCACTTTCAACATCGATAAAAATCTTGAAACCATCATCCTCATACTTAATATTCATCGGTAAATAAAAGCGCTCGAGCTTATGATTATAAAAATAATAAAACGAATAAATAAACGAGCAAATGTGTACATTTTTCAGAAATACTTTACGATCATTAGAGTATGGCGATAAAGATAATTATTCAACATGATATGCCTATGCCGATGGGCATTTATAATGATCAATAATATATATATATATATATATATATATATATATATATATATATATATATAGACAGTAGTTCTAGCATTCGAAATATAAGATAGCAGAATGAAATACCCATAAGTTATAAAAATGTCAGATTGTATATCTAAATCGATTCTTCTAAATTCCGAATTCATGCAACGACTCCGCAGTACGTACTTGCCTACTACTCTATAGTGTGTCAAAAATTATAATGTGGATTATCGTCTAAATCTCAGAGATGCTTTAAACAAATTTAAAAAAAAAAAAAAATACTAAACAAAAAACAAAACAAAAAAAAAACAAAGAAAAACGTGATCGGCGCTCGCAAACTCCTCAACCCTATACCCGTAACAGCTATAAGAAGCTTAAATGTCAATTCCCAAGCACATAATTCGATAAGAGAGAAAGGTAATCATT